TTTTTTTTCCGCAGATGGTTGCTCGGATTACTCAAAAATAGACATTATCAAATGAAATGTTATACATGTTCATTTTTCAATTTTTATGGAGGTGATAATGAACCTTCGACAGTTCCGAATAAATTGTTTAATATAGATATATATCAATATATGAATATAATATAATCATACTACCTCGCTCCGCTCAGAATCTATAAATGTAATAATGTAACCAATGCATAATAGACATGCTATCGCGTATGTTTACGTATATAAACTCGTGAAATTTCCATTACACCAAGGAAGTCAGTGATCTGCGTGATTTATTGAGAACGTGACTGTCTCGGACAAAACGAATACCGATTTGGAACTATCAGTGCGTAATTATTAGATGAAACCTCCCCTTCCCCAAATGGCATAGGGGAAATCAATTAGATAACATGTATTATTTATTTAGCGATTGCAATTTCCGCTCGATGTCCGATCTGAAATCGGGAAGTACGTGTAGAAAAACGTATAGGGGCATGTTGGGATGAGAAGATGAGCGAAGAAGTGAAAAAGAAGACGAGTCGCTGAGACCGGAAGGCCGTTGACCTGAATGTGTAAACAGCGGATGGCGCGTTAATTCGTGCCGCTGCGAGCGGTAACACTGCGCCGCCGGCAGTACCCGCGACTTGGTTCTTCGCGCGAACACGAGACGAAGTTCATTCTCGCTTCGTGCGCCAAACGCTAATTGAGTTGACCTAGTGTGAGTGCGTCGCAGTCGGTATCCCGATCACTTCGTCCGTCGCATCACACCGCATCGCTCGTATTCCATCCCCTACCGAAGTGACGACARAGTCATCGGACCGCGATCGTACCATAATACACATTGTTCCGATATATAATAATAAATCGTGATTTCTCTTATCCCTGTGCACAGGTGATGTATCCGGCCCGCGAACGGTCCGTTGTCGGCTGTTGTTGAACAACCGTCTGCGCCCGTCCGGAAGAAGGGCCACCCGTGATAGACACSTTTTCGATAATTATATTATCGTTAAATCGTTACATGGACACCACCGGAAGCATCGGCCGCGGACTGTCGCCGTGGTGCCGGTGTCTGTGGTGGCTGACAGTT